ACCTTGAGCGATCCTCCCGCTTCGGCCTCCCAGCGTGCTAGGATTACAGGCGTGAGCCACCACGCCCAGCCTCATCCCTCCTTTCGTGCTCCCTATTAAGAAGCAAACCCATGAAGTCACAATCAATTATTTATGCATCAGTGTGAATACACTGAGTAGATTCTTCTTTAAGAACAAGTTTTTCTTAAGAGAGAGAGAGCTAGAAGGCTTAGGGTGTGGCTTTGCGGTTTGGAAGAGCGCAGGTTGGATGGGGTGGTGCATGGACAGATCTGGCCTCTGTCTTGCTTTGATGCCAGGCCAGACCTGAGGGAAGTGGGCACTATCTTGGGGGTGTCCACAGGCACTACCATGCTGTCTTTGCTTTTCTTTTGGGGGTTCAGCCAAAGACTTCATCCGGCATTTGATGGAGAAGGATCCAGAGAAGAGGTTCACTTGTGAGCAGGCTTTGCAGCACCCATGGTGAGAGCGCCCACAAGCTGCAGGCTGGGGTGGAGTCTGGGGCCCGCCAGGCCTGCCTCTGCCCTCACAAGCAACCCTCCACATACCCGTATCCTAGGATTGCAGGAGATACGGCTCTAGATAAGAATATCCACCAGTCAGTGAGTGAGCAGATCAAGAAGAACTTTGCCAAGAGCAAGTGGAAGGTGAGCCCACGTCCCTAATCCTGGGTCCCAGCCTCCCCAGGACTCCTCTCCACCCTCATCGAGGCTCATCTCCCACAGCACCTACCACCAAGGTGGGCACACAGCAACTGCTCAGGGATGCTTACTTACACATTCATTCATTCATTCCACAAATGCTCCTTGACACTTCTATTCCAGAGGACCTCATTCATTCATTCAACAAGCACTCCCTCTGACCTCCAAGTCTAGAGGAAGAACTGTTTATAACTCCTTAGGAGGCATCTGATCCAACCTATGGGGTCCAGGAAGGATCATGAAGGTGGTGATGACCTGACAGGCCTGTCAGTTGGGTAGGAATTAGCCAGGCACAGTAGATTGATGTCTAAGGCAGAGGGAACAGCTACACAAACAGCCAAGGGCAAGAAAGAGTGGGGTATTCAGGGGAAGTGCAAGTGCTGAGCCTGGCTGGACTGGAGGGGCGGAGAGGACTGAGAAGCAGCAGCAGGTAGGGGCCAGGCCACTAGGGGCCTTGAATGGCACAGTGAAACACCGAATTCATCCCGAGGGTGCTGAGGAGCCCCAGGAAGATTTTAAGCAGAAATCTGGCCTTTAGAAAGTGCTCTCAGGATGCAGAAAATGACATTAAGACTGGGAGACCCATTAGGAGGCTGTGGCAGAGATGCAGGCAGGAGACAGGCACTGGCTTGGATCAGAGCAGTAGCAACAGGAGAGAGCTGGCGTTGAGCCACAAGTCATTTAGGAGGTAGAATCAATGAGAAGTGATGATGATGGGCTAGATGTTGGAGGAAAAAAGAGATGTCAAGGGCTAGCCCAAGATTCTGGTTGGGGACAGAGTAGACAGTGGCACCATCACTGAGATGGTGATCACAAGGGCAGAAACATCTTTGGGAGCAGATAGTTTTAGTTTTGAATATGGTAAATTTGAGGGGTGTGTGGGACATCTAGGTGGATATGTTGAATGAAGAATCACACACACACACCCCTGAGCAAGTTACTTAACCTTTTTGCACCTCGGTTTCTGCCTCTGAAAATGATATTAATAGGGCCTACCTCAAAGAGTTCTGTGAAGATTAATTACGTAAAGTGCTTAAAGCAGTGCCTGATATGAATATATAATGCTAGTGTTTTCTATACATATGAAAAGGAATTAATTATATAGTTATATATACAAGTTTATATATATACATTTTATATATATGCGTGCATGTGTATGTAAATATATAATGTGACTGAATATAACTTAATAAAGCCTTGTAGAGATTTGGGGGGTTTTAGGGGAATCAATAAACAACAACTGAATGAAAATAACAGAACCACTGCAAGAATCCCACTGCCAGCCCCTGCCCCATAACCTCCCACTCTCTCAGAAGTCCCTTCCTCCTCTCTTCTCACAGCAAGCCTTCAATGCCACAGCTGTGGTGCGGCACATGAGGAAGCTGCAGCTGGGCACCAGCCAGGAGGGACAGGGACAGACGGCGAGCCACGGGGAGCTGCTGATGCCAGCACCTGGGGGTGAGGAGTGCGGCTCTCTGGAAGGGCACAGGTGGTCCACGAAGAGGTGCCAGGCTGGAGTGCAGGGTCTGCCCCCATAGCCAACTCTGTTCTCTCTTTCTGTGTAGGGCCGGCGGCTGGCTGCTGCTGTCGAGACTGCTGCGTGGAGCCGGGCCCAGAACTGTCCCCCACACTGCCCCCCCAGCTATAGAGCCCTGGATTTAGAGTCAGGAACCCCTGCATAGGAGGGGTTAGGGGCAGCCTGCTCCCCTTCCCTCTCTGAACTAGGGAGTTACCCTGTCCCATCCCCTCCTCACCCCTTTCCCTACCACTGCTCACTGCATTTTCCATACAAATGTTTCTATTTTATTGTTCCTTCTTATAATAAAGGGAAGAAGATAAAACCATAAATACCTGTCACTCCAAATAGCCCCCACCCTACCTTGTTGTGCAAACTGCTTGATTTGGGGGTGCCTGGCACCTGAGGTAGTTGCAGGGAGCCCCCTCCCCGACATGAGACTGGATGGGGATAGAGAAGTGGGGAACGGAGGGGACAGATCTTTGGGGAATTCCTTTGCCCAGTGCCCTCCCACCTAGCCTTCAGGCCCTTTGGACCACCTTCTGCGCTTTGCTGGTGGCTCCTGAGCACGGTGGGATTGGCGTAGGTCAGCACTGAACAGCACCTGTAGGGGGTGAGGGGACATCTGTGTGGGGAGGAGGGTACACTGGGATCAGGGCTGGTGACAGTGTGGGTAGGTGGAAGAGTCTATGGGGAGCAGAGGCAGGGGCAACAACAGTTTCCTGGGGCTAGAGCTGGGGTGGCGAGAGTTCTTTAGGGTCACCTGGGGCAGGGGTGGTAATGGCAGAGTCCATGGTGATAGGTTTCTGGAAGAGTCCACTGGGTCAAGGCTTGTGTGCAGGTCCTACAGGGATTGGGCTGCAGAAGGAGGGGAAACCTAGGAACCTAGGTACACTCACCGCTTGGGCCCAGCCAGCATAAGGTCCCCACAGGCTCCGGAAAAAGTTTCCTAAATCAGAAATGATGAAGTTAAATTACTTGGCCTCTTCTGATCAACAGAGGTAGGGTCTGAGAGAGAGGTGACTATGAGAGTGAGAAGTTTCTACCATCTCAGCCCTCTGCCAGCCCCAGCATCCCACTCTCTCTCCTCACCCAGTTCCTTGTTGGTCTGGGGGCTCAGGCCCTTCGCCTGGGACGTCGTGGGGTGCCAGCCGTAGTCACGCTGGGCAATCTGCCACACATGGACATCCACGGGCACAGCCTGGGGCTTGTCTAGGGCCATCAGGCAGATGCAGTCAGCCACCTTGGACAGACACAGAATGAGTCCTTAGGAGGAATGGTAGATCTGGCCGGCATCCTGCTTCTAGCCCCAAACCCAGCTCCTTCCTCCTCCACTCTGGGGTTACTATTATTCTATATTTTCGATAAACATATACTATCTATTAATAATTTTAAAAATAGCTGTCATAAAAACTGCTACTGCATGCACACCTGTGTAGGCCAGGTTCTCATCATAAATTAGGAAGAAGGTATTGCCATACTC